TAGAGGGACGACTTGAGGTGATTACATAGTAGAAGGGTTAAATTGAACTTTTTCACAAAGTAGAGGGATGATAGTTGGCTTTAACCCAAAAAAAAAAAAAACCATCTTTCCACCACGGCTTGACACCAAATTGAAGAGACGCCAACCGGGGCCTGTGGCCAATGGTTGCCCCAAGCTTTAGGGTTTTGGTGAGGCTCAAGATTTTGAGTTCTACCACCATTATAAATTTTACCAATTTGTGACTTAATAGTTACGTGTCTCTTTTAAGAGGTGGATTATTTACCATTCTGGAAAGTCCCAGTTACTAATAACTAACTCTACTAACTTCCTAATCATTACCATTGTTAAAAAAAAATTGAAGAAGACAAAATAGAGGTTCCCCATAATCGACTAATTCTTTCAACTGCTCATGCCAGTTCTCTTCCTTAACTAATAAGGATGCTCCCATGTTTTCAACTGTTATTATTATTATTTTTTTGAATAAATTTACAAAGGGTCGGATTCGAATCGTTGCCTGAGGTGGAAGAATGCACTTATACATGGCCTGAAAATTGATCTTATTAATTATTAAAAATATAGGTTTAACAATATGATAACAAGTGTCAACAAGTTAAATAATTTAATAATCATTTTCTTTTACTAAAAGTATGAGATTTTGAGTTTCAATCACATGATATGTGAATGTGATAAAATAAAAGATAAGAGATAATTATCTCTCATTATACAATAAAAAATAATTAAAAAAAAAAAACAATATGATAACAAGCAATTAAAGTAATGTCTACCCTATCTACTTTTTGCTGGAAAACCAAAACCGTACTGGAGATAGTTGTTATTAACTAATGAGTTTAGTTGCTAACATTAGAGAAATCTATAGCTAATCACTCACAAATTTATAGTTTTGGTAGGAAAAACATGTTTAATGTATTTGGAGAAATATGGGAGCTAGCAGCTAGGTATTGTAGCTTATAATTGATAGTTATTAGAGACAGCACCCCATACATATTGCAGCTGACAATGAATAATTGTAGTAACGATACCACATCTCCATATAATTAGACATAATCAAACCAACAAGCCTTACCTTGAGTATTAAAAAATTCAAAAAAAAAATGCCAATAAATAAAAAAGGAAAAAGACAAGATTTTAGAAAAAAAAAAAAAAGGCTTATAGGCCCTACCCTTACCCTTAATCTTTCTTGTAGGAATAAAAAAAAGAAAAGAAAAGTTAAGCATAAGCTTAGAAAAAGAAAATGTCCTGCCAGCTAATCCAGCCCGCACAAAAATAATTGTTATTTATATAATCTAAAGAGATTGATTAAAATTAAGAGCTTATAATTATTTTTTAACAATTAAATTAAGCATAGTGAAATAGGCATTAACTTTTTTGTATTATCATTTTATATAATTTTTACATATTATAAAATGAGTAAATATATTTAATATCATAAATTTTAAATAAATAAAAAAATTAATCATTCAAATTATACGTAAGATTATACTAAAAAATATTATAAAAAAATTATTCAAAAATCATTTTTCTTAAATTAAATATATAGTTAAAACCCGTAAGATGTTGTTAATGCTTCTATTTTGTCTCAGCCTTGGTTTAAAAATTGGGATGGTTGTTGAAAATTGTAGATGGTTTTTCATTGTACTTAATTTAACAAATCATTTATTAATTTTTATATATTTTTTTATTTCATTTATTATATTTAAATTTTTTCAATCATGTTTATTACTTTTCATATTTATTTTAATTTCATTTAATCTGTTATCTTTAATGCAAATCTTCTTATTCTATAAGAAAATATTTAATCCTCTAATTATATTTTTTTTGATCTTTTAGTCTTTAAATTTATATTCACTATAAAAACATTTTTTTATTCTTATCTTGCTAAATATTTTAATTCTTCTAAAGGGAGATGCTTTACAAACTTTATAAATGTATCTATCTCATAGTAACTTATTAGTTCTTTAGGGTGTCATTCTAATTTTTACCATATTTGCAAGATTTAGTTTAAAAACTTCTCATTTTAATCCAGATAATTTTCTCTTTTTAAATTGAGCTAATTGCTCAAGTTTATTATAAATTCTAATTAATCCATCTCTATAAAATATTTTTTAAATTATCATATTTTATTTGAATTATAGTTCACATTTTTTAAACTTAAAAAACTACTATTTTTTGTTAAATTTAACAAAATTTTTGTACGATAAGTTATTTTAAAGTATTTTTAAAAGTTTATTAACCATTTAAAAAATAAACTTTTTAAAATAAAATAAAATAAAATAAAATTGATAGTTAATATACTAATAATTAAATTAAACATTTTAAAATAAAATAAAATAAAATAAAATTGATAGTTAATATACTAATAATTAAATTAAACATTTTTTTTTCCAATCTCATTAAGCCTTTTTCATTGAGATGGAAAAAAAGGCTTGCTTTCCCCCGAAAACAAACATCTCTAACGTACCGGTAGACGGTGAACGGGTGAAGTGCTTTCCTTTCCACGAAAGCAAAGCAATCCGCTTCCATTCCCCAAAATGCCCTTAAGTTTTCTCCATATTCACTTTCGCCACCAGGGCAGAACACCTTCAATTTGTTCCCATATAAAGCCTTTATTCCCATTTTAACCCCATATATTGAGAATATCGTTTCTCCTTCTTAGCTTCTTCTTTTCCAAATCGGACTCGTACTGTGTTTCTACCGTTTCTGTGGGAACCGTCTGAAATACGAAACCCTAATTTTCTTATTAGGGTTTCCTCCAATGGCTGCAATAGCTTAATCAAAATCGAGATCAAGTATTTTTTTTATTCATGCAAATATTTTCGGTTCTGTTGATCTGGATGTAAAATCCATTCCATCATCGGCGAATCCGGAAGCAAGAACTCTGAAAATTGTTGAATTTTGGATCTGAATAGTGTTATTAATGGCGGATCAGCAAGAGGAAGAGGACTTGAGAATGGCTTTGCGGATGAGCATGCAGAATGCGCAGCCAGAGCCGAAGCGGAGCAGGCCTCGGGAAGTGACTGGCTCAGGAGTTCCGGTGATGACACCGGAGGAGAGCAAGCGGCAGCAGCGTGAGCTAATGGCGGCAGCAGCTGAGAAGCGGATGCAGGCAGCAGCAGCTGAGAGAAGTATGCAGCCGACTAAATCTGCCCCCGCTCCCGCTTCCGCTTCTTCTCCATCCAAAATTGTAAAAAGCGGAGATTGTTTGAGGAAAGAGAAGGAAATCAGAGCGAGTCAAGGGGATTCACGAAAGGAATTAACAAAGGGGGAAGCTCAGCAGTTATTTTCAATGGTGTTTGGGAGTGGTGTTTCTAAGGATATACTTGCTCAGTGGAGTAATCAGGGTATCAGGTAGGCGTAGTGTTGTTTTGGCTATGCGTCTGTCTTTTAGTTTCATGATCAAAATTTGTTTCTAAGAGTGAGCAAAAAAATTTATAATCTTGGCTCAATTTACTTGCATTTAGATAAACTTAGTGATGATTTTGGTCCAAAATGTGTATTTATTTAAATAAAATTGGCACCTGAATTGCGTTCCATATGCCTCATCATGTTCTGGATTACATGCTCTCTGTTATGAGGAAAGCTGGTCTAGTAAATCATCTAGCAGCTTTTTCTTGTTCCATTACTTATCCAAATTAATTTATTTTTAGTTGTTTTTGTTATCTCTGTTCTCATAGAAATGATGGGGTTCTAGCTGCTTCTTTTTGATTCAAATAATCAAACCAATAATATTGTGGAAGTTTCATTTACTTGCTTTTTATTGGCTGACATCATGTCAAACAATAATATAGGTTTAGCCCTGATCCGGAAACGTCTATGGGTCTAGTGCAGCATGAAGGCGGGCCCTGTGGTGTCTTAGCAACCATACAAGTAATCTCCTGATTTCTTGTGCATTTGAGTTTGTTGTAGCATGCAATTTCAAAACTTTTATAATTATATTGGCCATGTGAAGATCCTAATTATGTCCATGGTTTGATCATCTGTTGCAACTTGCATGAGACCTCTGTCACTTAGCTCTGCTGATGAATTTATATTTTTCACTGGCATTTGAATACTTGTTGGGATGTGTTAAGGACGTAATATTACTGGGGATGGCCTTTTTTAAGCTTGCTAGTTTTATTGATAGGATACTTGCATTATCATATTTGTAAGCCAAATAAAGCTAAAATTTTCCATTTAAATTTTGATTTTGTTTAGTTTGGTCTACTTGATTACTGAAGTTGTTGAAGCTTATAAAAGTCTAAAGCCATGGTCATTGTCATTCATTTGGTTTAAGACTTGACTAGATAATAACTCCTTGCATATGTTGGTTATGTCTTCTGGCTGGGTTATGTCACAGAACATATGTTGGAAACTTTGATATTGAAACTTCAAATTTGGAGTTCCTCTTTTTTGCTGTTTATTTCCTTTAATTGTGTATAGCTGTGTAGTATATTTATTGCCTAGGAGTGTCACATGGATCCTTATTGTAGAAAACAGGTATGTGCTCATGCCTTGGTTTCTTTGCCACTTAAGTTTTATCTTTTGTAACAAAAACACGTTAAAAATCTCGAGCCTAGTCCCTGAATTTCTGCTTTTTGTAAGTCATTTTGCATCACTCTTTTGTCGAATGAATTGAAGACTTCAACCTAGCATAAAGTATTTAGATTGGTTTGTTTGATGAGGAATCCAAATCCATCTGTTACAATTACCATTTCATAGGCTTAAAATTAGGTTAAAAATTTGTGGCAGGAACTTTTGAAATCCAAATTCGTTTCATTTTATGCAATTGACTTCTGCATGATATGCAATTTTTTGATATTATTGGTAAATCTTAAAGAATGGTTTAGATCTTCTTATTTACCCTTTTTGTTTATTTTTGTTGGTTCTGTTGTTTAACTGTCTGTAAGTTCTGTCTGTTCTTGCAGGCATCTGTTCTCAAACATCTGCTTTTCTTTCCGGATGAATTAGGTAACACTGCACTGAACATTCCTGAGAATTTAGGTTTTGGGAGATTTTCTCAAAATCGATCTGTTGCATCAGATAATTTTGCTGCTCTTGGTGAAGATGCAAAAATAAGGTGATTTTGACTTTGGATTGGTAAAATTTGGCTGTGTATAAAAAGGGACAATCATGTACATCTCTTGAATTTATCATCAATGTTTTCAATGTATTCTAGCTTCACTGTTTATGCGTAATGCCTTAGACTGTTGAGAAAGCTGTATGCTTGTAGATGCTATTTATTTAGATTTTGAACAACAATATCAATGTTTTCCCTGCCAATTTTATATTTTTATCTTTTTCTTAATCAATCCCCGATTCCCCACCTCCAATTAAAGCATGATTGCAGAAGTGATTTCTTGCAATGGGTTTTAATTCTCTGAAGTTAAGTTTATCTGTTGGTTCTAGGAATCCTTACATCAAAGTTGGTACGGATTTATCTTGCTTGCAACAGTTATTTTTCAAAGGATTATTATGGGTGTTTTATCTCAAAAACATGTTAGACCAAGTTGCATATGTAAATCTTTGTTTTTATGCCTGTGTTTGTGGCAGTCATGTATTTATTATGGGCTAATGAGCTATGGTGTATTATTGGAATCTATATTCAATTAATTGAAGTTCCAGCAAGCTTTTATAAGTTTCTGACATACAATTTCACCCATTTATGGTGTGAAATCTTGCTATGGTTTCAATGAACTTCATCGTTGTTTTATATTTTAAGTGTTAGCTGTTTCTTCTATGTTTATTTCATCTGATTTTGTGCAACAACCCAGTTTGGAAAAGTAAATATTTGCTGTCTGTGTTAAAACATTTCTCTTTTTCTTTTTTTTTTCTTTAATGGTGACATTTATGATTACTTATTTTGCTTTAATGTCATTTCAAATTTTTATGTACATGTACAGAGCTTTAGTTAAAAGCATGGGTGAGATATTATTTTTATGTGGAAATAATAAAAGAGCTGCAATTGCTACTTTGAGTGCTATTGGCCATGACATTGAGGGATCTAAAGGCTCTCCCGAGGATGTGGTTAGTTCAAAATTGAACTGAGTTGAAGTATATAAATTATTATTGTTCTTTAGCTATAAATATCCTTGTTCTTTTTTGATCATTAGTGGTTATTCAATCTGACAGGTTATTGCCCAAGCTCTTGAAGGTCTTTCAATTGAATCAGCTGCTGATTTGCAGAAGGTTCTAAGAGTTGACATATACACAACAACAGAAAATGCCTTGAAGAGGCTGGAAAAAATGATTCCTGTGTTCCAAAGTCGTATGGGGGCGCTGCTCTTCCTTCTTTCTGCATTACTTTCTCGTGGACTGGTATGCTTGTTTGCTTTTATTTTTTGGCCAAAGTATGCCTGTTTGCTTGAAATCTACCTTCTAAAAATTGATATCCACCAATGTTTCTTAGCAATACCAATCACCTCTCTAGTCTCTTAAATATTGTTGTAGCTGTGTATATTCAAAATTGCATTTGTTTGAGGATCTAAGAATGTCTATGTTGCCCCTTTCTGTCTAGGACTGTGTTGAAGCTGACAGGGATGATCCCAGCTTACCGCTAGTCACTGCCCCATTTGGTCATGCTTCTCAAGTACGTAGAATTTATTTATGCCTACAAATGAATTGAATTTTAGCATCTTTAATTTGCTGCTTGTATGATCATTTTTGAGTTCTCTTTTAGTGAGTCATTGCATTGTAATTGTATTATATCCTACATAATTATAGGAGATTGTGAACCTATTGCTCTCCGGGCAAGCTGTACCAAATGTATTTGATGGGAGAATGGACTTTGGTGGTGGCATGTTTTTGAAGGGCATATCTACAAGTGTGGATGTCGGATTCCTCACTCTTCTAGAATCTCTTAATTTCTGCAAGGTTGGCCAGCATCTGAAATGCCCAAGATGGCCAATATGGGTTGTTGGTAGTGAGTCTCATTATACAGTTCTATTTGCTCTCGATACAGCTGTTCAAGATGAAAATGAACTGGAAGAAAGGGAATCACAGATCCGTAAAGCTTTCGATGCACAAGATCAGAGTGGAGGTGGTGGTTTTATTGGTGTGGAAGGTTTCCATCAAGTTCTCAGGGAGACAAATATCAGACTTCCACCTGAGAAACTTGATAGCCTTTGCAGCTCAGGCTTTATTGTATGGAGTGAGTTCTGGCAGGTGATTTTGGATTTAGACAAGGGCTTGGGAGGCCTAAAGGATTCGACTGGACTGATGGGTAGAAAAGTATTTGACCTTTACCATTTTAATGGGATTGCAAAATCAGATTTGAATGGCAGCCAAGCAACATCTCCAGGGGAGACTCCAGTGCAAAGACCTAGGCTCACAAAATTGAGGGTTTCAGTACCTCCAAGGTGGACCCCCGAGGAATTCATGGCAGATGTAACAGTATCCTCTGGTTCTGTGGGGGGTGAATCAAGTGGCAAAGACACTGAAGTTACTAAACCTGAACCAGCTCAGCAGGCGCCTCTGGTGGACTGCATTAGAACACGATGGCCTCGTGCTGTGTGTAATTGGGTTGGTGATCCTCCTAGCATAGTCTGAATGTATATTAATCCTTCATGTTGGAAGCAAAATGCATGGAATTTTTAAGACTCACAGAAATGAAGTCACAGTTGGGTGTCTCTGGCTGGTTTGCTAACACCTTGGAGCCCATGAGAGGAGCAGATTTTCCCGGTATTGTTGGTTTCAAGCTTGCGCGTCACCATTTTCTGCTGTGTATTTGCTATAGTGTTGACAATCTAATTCAATTTTCATATGCCAAATACTGAGGGGAGATATTTCTGTCGAGAAAACGTGTAAAATTTATTCATATTTATTTGCCTTAGTTGATGAGTGAAGTTTCTTTCTAGGTAAAATTCAATAATAAACAAACATCTATATATTCTTATTACAGTTTTTGATGCAGTAATCGTCTATAGCTACTAACTTTGCTATTGATCAAGAGTTTAATGTCACCCATACGGCTCTCCACAAATAGAAGTAGTGAGATGGAGAAGGTGGTAGTTTGGCAATGGGGGCTGAGGCTTTATCAGAACTCACTACTGGATTAAAGATCAAATATATACTTTGGTAATGTCGTCGATTCTCATGAATTAATGCTCTGTTGCAGGGGTGAGGATTTTATGGGAGGGTAAAAATGATAAGAAAGTGAATTGCAGCCACCGTAGTAGCCATTTTATTGAACTCAAAGGATATGGAACTCTCCCACAGATGATAATAGGAGTGACGGACTCAACACATAACTTATTTTAATTAGAAAAGCTCCATTTTCAAAAGGGAGGAGCCCTAATGAGGATAAGTTGTTTAAGTTGTTCAGATACAACCTAGTTATCTGCATCACTGAGAGCGAATAGGACCAGAAACAAAGTAAGGCACTCTTAACAACTTCCCAGTTACTTCAATTTTGAGAAGAGCTTTGGTGCGACCTGCATTCCGAAATCCAGAACTCAACTGATGTAAAAGGACAACCACCAAATGATGCATTAGATAACAATGATAAGACTTCCGCATTTATCAACACAGGACAAGTAGTCAAAATACTGTCCAGTGCAATGCTTGCTTCCGGTATCATCACCATCAATCCTCTTTACACATCCCTGCAGTCAAGCCATATGATAAATCTCATTAGAATGAAATTGTTGTCTCTGATACAATACATTGATCACTAAGCACCAAAACAAATTGTTTCCTGTCTTAGAGTCATAATAGCACACTTTTCTCATATAAAAACTTAGCAGGAAAAGGAAAGGAACTCCAAAAAGAAGCAAAACAAAAGGCGTGGGCAGAGAAAGGAAAAAAAAAAAAGAAAAACAAGTTGAAGGAAAACATACCAACTGTCCACGTCATTCATCACTTCGTCAACAGTGATAACAAGTCACTGAAATCCAAAGAGATGACAAGAATTACAACTTGGATAGTAAGCTACCGTCACTTGATAATATACAACGTTATTCTAGACAAGGAAGACAACAACCTAGTATTGATTATAGTTCTTCACTCATGAGACTTGTTATTGCTATTCTATAAAAGATAACGGGATAGTGCTGCAAATAAACCACACATAAAAATGCATGTCAATTTTGAAAGTTAAGAAACTTAAAAGTCTTGAATTACTGCCCAAAATGTTATAAGGACCACAATGCAATTTTTATCAATGCTCTTATTCCTTCACAGTGATGATATTTCTCCCAAGGGTTTTTAATACATTTCATGGGACTATTGGATGACTTAGATGCTCACGTGCAGATATCTTATATGAAACAGGTGACCTAAAGGTGCCCCGAAGAGCTTGCACTTTGCAACTACATAAATCTATCAGTTACTTCCAATGACCAAAAAAAAAGGACAATACTCAAAAAAGTCTATACATAAGAATCAGGAAACAATTTCTACAGAAAAAAAGGGAAAAACTATAAGCATCCTTTAAGTGAGATAATACTTCACCCCATATTCAATTAAAGACTTCACACATTTAGGCTTGCAAGATTCCTCAAGGTATATCTTAGGATCAATGACTTTGCCGTCTGCCCTGCACAAAGAGAAGAATTAGACTATCCAAGACAGAAGAAAGCATGTTAAGGAAAGTAACTTGATGCTTCATAAAGAAGTCCGTACGCTAATGAATTTCAGTTCTATGCGTATCATGAGTGTTGGCTCACTTTCCAATAGTTGATGCAGCATATGCACTTAGGCAAGATATCATCATTATGAGTTTATGAAGTGCACATACCTAAGAATAATTTACAGTCTGAAATGTTTGCTAGTCATATACACACAAAAGTGAACACATAAAGCCCACAAAGGGAAATTTCATCTATTACTGAAAAATAATTGGCAACCAACTAGTCGATTTGCAATTATATTAATCCAAAAAAAGAAAAAAAGAATTTCAGGTACTGTTCAAAAAAATGAAAGAAAAGAAAAAGAAAAAGAACGATATTCACCATATCAATTTGAAAACAATTAGAATTGAGGTCCAAATATGTTACTGCAAAGAACAAAGACACAAATTGTTAACCGCCACACCAAACAATTTCGTGCTTGTAAACATCTATAAGACCACACTGCCTGAGATTCATTATTACTGCAGCCTATGAAAGCTACTTAAATTTGATAAAGGCACTAACTTTAAAGCTTTAACAATGAACAATCACAAGGGAAGTATGAATTAGGCGAGAGGTCAGCTTGCAAATTATCATTACAAGCTTCAATTGAAAGGCATATATAAAAACACTCACATCGAAATGAAGGTTGTCCCGGAAACAGCACTCAGTCGATGCCAAATTTGTTTCTTGATTTCTCTAATGCACAGACAAACACCACTCTCAGTATCAACACAAACAGTCATCTGAATTGTTGATGGCAAACAAAAACACAAAAAAAAAAACACAAACAACCACGTATCGAATTCCCCGAAATCTTTATGCTCGAAAAGGTCTCATTACAGGGAAATCAAAATGGAAATATAGAAAAAAAAAAAATTCTTGTACGGGAGAACTTGAGCCGATGAATTACAAACCTTTGACTGTGCAAAAGACTCTGGATGAAACTTTGATCTACAAATAAAAAAAACGGATTGAAGAAGAACAGGATGAAATGAATTTTGTTAATATAGAAGACTGTTTGTTACCTTTGTGCGTGGGGAAGACAACGTTCTCACTTCTCAGATGCAGAAATGCGTACTGTAGATGAAAATGCTTGACACTTGTGAGTCCATTGCATTAATCGGATGTTCAGAGGCTCCGACCGAACCAACATGTGAGAGAAACTAGGCCATAATCTGTCGACTTGGTTTCTAAACCACCTTCTGAATGGATGGCCCAAAAAATTCATCTTCTAGTTCCCTCGCACTTGTTTACTCATCAAAACTTAGATTTAGAAAGGGGTTTTTTTTATTTTGTACCTTTAATCCATAAGGTAAGTGTCTATTTATTATTTTTTTATTATTAATTATATATTAATTTACACAAAAAATTAATATTAATTTTAATAGTTATCACACATGAATTTTTTTTGTTGGACAAGTAGTAAAATTAATATTAATTTTTAATTTTATTATGTATATATATATTTTTTGAACAAATTTGTAAGGTCGAATCTAAACCGTTGCTTTGGGAGTAGGATAATAAACTTATACGTGATCTGACGTCATTGAATTTGAAGACTCAAGTGTAATTTTATTAGGTATATTAATAATAAAAAATATAATAAATATATCTTTTTAAAATATAAAATAAAAAAACCATAGTTAAAATTAAGGCTGGACTAACAGTGCTTTTCACTGTGAATCAGGATTTTTATTTTATTTTTATTTTGAGAAGAGCAAAGTATTAATATATTACAGTTAATGGGTAAGAAGAGTATTAAATGTGAAATATGAGATGCAAACCACCACCTGCGCCAAATGTCCCAGTTGTGACACGCCCGTGGTATGCACAGTGAATCAGGATTGATTGAACATAAAACTGGATTCATTAAATGAGAGGACAGTTACAACACCTTTATTTTATATAATAGATTTATTAACTAAGTTTTTAAAAAAATTAAAGAAAAAAATCACCTCATAACCAGAGAGTATGTCCGTTTTAATAAATTTTTGATTTTTTTAATGTCAAAAATTAATTATTTAGTATTATAAAAATTACTTTAAATTAAAATTTTTATTTTAATAAATATCCAATTGATTAAGCTCTTGTTAACTTTTTTTTTTTATAATATTTTATTAAAATATTTTTCTTATAATTTTTCAAAGGTGCAAGTGATAAACATTACTATCAAAAGATAACGGGAGTGAAACTAAAAATTCTGTTTTTTTAAGCAACGGCACCATACATCTGTCCTTGAGTCTCATGGAATGCTGAGTATTGTTACATAAGACAAATGAAGTAGTTAAACATACTATTCATAGATAAAGTTTATCACATAAAGACCTAAAGATTTGCAGACTCCGCTGTTCCTTCACTATGTGAGTATACGGTAACAGCAGCTTAGAACTAAATTTGACAATAGGTGCTTCAATGAAACCAGAAAGCCAGAGACTTCATTCTCTAGATCAAGCAGTCCTTAGTGGAGGAGAAACCAAAATCACGCCATCTCCTCGAACAAAGAGAAAAGGGACTGTCCGCCTTGTAGTCTGAAATGGAGGAAAGAGCATAAGATCATTACACAAACTGATAAAATAATAAGTGTACAAACAAATGATACACCATCTGAAAATTAATTTGAATGGAAGCATTATGGTACAACATACCCTAACAATCTCTTCATAAGTTTCGTCATCGATTTCAACTGTAGTAACAATTTCTTCAACATCCCCAAGGATCATATTTAAATGCTGATCATAAGCCTGCAAAGATAGTATCCCAGACATGGAGCGATAAAATTATGTATCAAATGAAAAACCATCTTATAATATTCAAGCTGAAAAACATCAAGAACAATAAAATGCCAATGCTTGGTACTTAGGCAAGTCAAGTTTTCAAACTAACTTGAAAAATGCAGCAGTAGCAGTCCTATAGATACAACATGGTAGCAAGCTTTTAAGCTGAGATATTAGTTAGGAAGCAAGCTTTAATTGAAATCCATATCCTCAGACAGAGCTAACATGATATGAATATTCAGATACTTCCATAAACAATGCCTTACCAAACAAAAATTGTACACCCAATAGAATAAAATGGTGCATTAATACACTCATTCTGACAACTATGGATTTCAATCAGATCTTCAGGATGACGACTAAGGATACAGATTTCCAATCTCACATCTACATAACTCCAAAGAAGAAAGAGAAAAAGAAAAAATCTTACAATGACATTTCTTTATTTCACGTTCTCAAAATCAGTGTTGCAATACTATTCCTTTATATTCAACAAGATTCAGAAAACTTGTTGGTCACCCAAATTGTTGTCCCTTAATATGAGCATTACATTGTGAGACCTCAACAGGAAATCATACAAAGAATACAGTTTCAGAATTCTGAGCCAAAAAAAAATCCCAATTCTATAGACATTAATAATCCACAAATTACCAATGTCTCCAACTGAAATCATCTACCAACATAAAATCAAACTGAATTCATCTACCAATCCATAAGAATATGAGCAATTAAAAAGTATTCGCCAGTCGAATGGGAAAAAAACTCAATTTAAGCCGTTAGAGAGAAACCCTAGGCTTCGAATTCCTGAAGATGTAAACCATAGAATTGGAACACTTGAACAGCAAAGCAAACCCTAGGTTTCCAACCAAGAGTGAAATCAACGAAGCTGAACCATGGTTACCGTACATACAGAGACAGAGACGTATCATATAAATAAACAAAGCATGCGTACAGACAACATACATGGAGTTTGCCACGGAGTTCACGATCGGAGCGGAGCTTGACGTATATGCGCTCGTCGAGACTTAGTCTTATCAGATCCAGTGGCTCCTTCACGGCGCTCTCTTCTTCGGTCGCCATCCTCTCCCTCTCTCTGGGATAATGCTCGCACCGCCGGGAAACTGTCGGAGGGTTTTAGGCTTTTAGCGTTTCGCAGAGACACTGTTATTCTCCAAATTAGTCAGAATTAATCCCCGTGAATGGACCGCAATCTAAGGGCCAAAACAAAAAAAAGGGAAATCCACTAGTGTGGGCTTGAGTATTCAGCCGAAAGCCCAAATTATTTTTGTAAACAACTCCAATGGGGCCAGCTGGTCAAGTCTATTTCCTATGGAATTTAAAGTGGGCTTGGGTCCAACTTCACTCTCATCTACTGCCGAGCAGAGACTACACAGGAAAATTAATAAAGTGGAAACAGGGGAGGAAGGCCCATGAAGCAACTAACTAAAATTATTTGTATAAAAGTGCTTATTTAATTGAAAACAATTTAAATAATTTAGTAATTATTTTTTGTTGTTGAAAATAAAAAATTTTGAGTTTAAATAACATGACATACGAGTGAAATATGATAAAAATAAAATATACTTATTTTTCATCGTGCAACCAAGATAAAAAAAAAAAAAAGCTTCTTTAACTATCATTTTCTCTCTCCACCTCTCTTTCACTGATAATTTCAACCAATTAGTTTGTTCATTAAAAGAAAAAAAAAAGTAGGTGTCGAGGGCAAATTTGTCATTGTAGGGGAGTTTTAGTTTTTCCCAGAGATAATGTTATTAACTCGTGTTGGGAAATTAGGATACGAAACACGTCCTTATTTTCACAAACATACAATTCACGGAGAGATAAAGAAATAGATCTATCCGTACGTGGGCATGGTTAATGTTATGATCACATAAATTATAAAT